AATTTAAATGTCATCGTTGGAGCAACGATATTACAATTCATCAGTTCCTCGGTGTCATTTTGCATAAAAAGTTCGATGAGCGTAACTGCGCAGTAAAATTTAACGGATAAGGCATCTCGCCTGATCGGATCGTCCAGCATTTGTCGAACGAAGAAAATGCGAAGGAATCGAAAAGAGAGAAGCTGGCCGCGCAAATGGAAAAGAGCGCGTTCGTACTATTCCGACGTCTGGGAATCCGAACAAAGGAGTTTGAGGGCAGAGAGAAGCGGCGGCGGCGGCGGCGGCGGCAGAGACGGTGGCAGCAGCGGCGGTTGCAGCAGCGGTGATGGTAGCGACGGTGGCAGCGGCAGCAACAGAGACACAGAGGCGGTGCTGACTGCTGCTTCTTCTGATGCTGCTGAGGTCGTCAGCCTGGTCGTGGTCCCAGTCCCGGCCTGATTAAAACAGGCCGAGTGCAGTCGTCGTCGTCGGGCTGGGCGGGGAGATGGGAAAGGGCAGAAGGCCAGGAGGCGCTGTCCGGGAGGGGGACGTCGAAGGCTACAGACGTCTGAAAGCCATTCTTTTGTCTCGTCCGGGAGAAATTGCCCCTCTCCCCGGCGGCTCACCGGAGCTTTGAATTAGCGTTGGCCCGAGAAAGCGCAGACGTTTGAGGACATGAGGATTTATTCGCGGCCCGTACATTATGTGGGCAGACAGAGCCGATGCTCAGGGGGATGTTGCAACGTGTTGACTTCGCCCGGCCACGCTAATTAGAGATGCTTGATTTATTAATTTGAGCTGATTTACGATTTACGTTCGCTCCCTTTCGGCCCTAGACAATGCGCTCGATTTTCGGAGCAGGATTTCGTTATAAATTTTGATGATCGTGGTCTGGCTGATGTTCCGAGTTCGGTTGGGAAGATGATCGAGAAAGAAAGGGTCTTTATAAAGCCGAACAACTTGCCAAATATAGCCACTTAGCAATTCATCGATAAGATAATTCCTCTCTTAGGTTATCATTATTTTTAATCGTACGCATCATTATGTGTTAGTTAAAAATTTCGAATCCAAAGTTAAAGTGCCTGACGTGCTTTTTCACTCTGAAAATAATATTCACTTTAATAAACTGAATTTCACGAATTTTACTTTATACAAATATTTACTCTCGACACCGAATAAAAACAAAATATTTTTCTTTATCCACGAAGGCTTGAAATTCTTTCTCGAAAATAATGTAAAGTAGTTGTTGGTAAAACGACACGATAATGTTGAAATAATGGAGGCGAGAAATTTCCGAATTAAAAATAACCGGAGTAAAATCAGTGGTTCCATTGTATAAAATACGCGCATCAGTACGAGTCTCTCCATTAATTTTTTTTTTTATTAATATTAAAATGATTATATTGACAATTTCATACTGGCTTATATAAAGGACACGATTGTACGTGCGATGTCAATGTGCCACATTGTTTATCCAAGAAAGATAGATCTTGCCGATCGGAA